AGTTTTGGCGAAGAACTGGAAATTGTATATTTTTGACAATGTCTCCAGCCATACGAAATCCCATCTTTAGGGAGGTGTTTAAGCGCAGCTGACAAAAATAACATCTGTATAGGATTTGGTAAGTTCCGCAAGCTCAACATGAGATTTTGGAAGATTCTGCAAGCAAATAATAATCTTTTACAATAGTTTCCAAGACCATTGAACTTGTACAGCCACTCTTGCATTAAATATGGCTGCAAGTTACTGATAGTGACCAAGACAGCATCTCTAGTTAATATTTAATGGGATTTCTAGCCTTCGGTTAGCATCAAATGGTATTGTTATGGGAATCAAGTTCATTTCCATGTCTTCGCCACCCATGCCACCTAGCCCCTTTATGGCGAAGTCGAGCAGCATCGCCAGCGCCAAGCTTCACTAGCGTGAATGCCTTGCTTCGTCAGACGGGCAGCGTTCATCCATCCATGCTTGCCAAGCCATTACTCCCATAGTTTATCCCGAGTAGTTCCCATGAGCTTGGATCCATGGGCTTGTGTTTATCTGTAGCAACAACAAAACACATGTGAATATATGTTCACGTACTTAAGCATACGAAACTTACAAATATATGTAGCAAAGAAGGGAACGCCTTTGTGTATTAAAGGAGGCTACGTGGATGAATGTTCGTTGTTCCCATTTGCTTGCTGGCCATGGCGAGCGTCAATATATTGCTGTTGTACATGGATAGCGTTGTGCTAGGATTAGGAACAAGTGACATGGGTGTGTACTACGATATCGTTGTCCCGATCCAAGCTTCGCTGGTCGACGATACCTGTTGACACGTAAGATATAGAAAATATGTCTTATGAGTTGGGATTATTGGCGATCGGTAATTTTGTCCCTTTGTGTAAAAAAGTGACAATGTGCATGACCTCCAACCATGTTATGTACGTATTGTGGGGTCCGCCATACATAGCTTCCCCATAACTAGAGGGACAATAGTGGCTAGCTTTGTCCATGGCTAGAGCGTGAACTATGTAGAATCGAAAGAGTATTCCCACTACTCCACCAAGCTGCGAGGAGGTAAATCTTGTTAAACCAAACTCCGCCATAGTGATGGATATGTATAGAGAAAGGTAGAGTTGTCTCCATGGAAGGGGGACGCCAGCTGCATCCATGGCCTCCGATACAACAAGGTGTGATACCACTGACAAACGTTGGCCTTTCTTGCCATACCCGCACCGTCAAAGGGTGGTCCTAGTTGTTGTTGCCTGCTGGGCACCGCACCACCATGCATGGGTGACCACCAAGGGACCGTCGGTCGCTACTTGATGGATTTTTATCGCTGGAGGATATCCATCCCATCCAATCGTAGAGTTGCAACTATTACCAACCTCACATTAATTTTATCGAGTTGCACTAACTCTTTGTCCGTTTTCGGGAGCCAGTGAGATAGAATATGTAGAGATCCAACCTTTTCCCCATTGCCAAGAGTTAGTGAAATGAAGATACGTAAAAATGTGTAGCCTTTTGTCCATTGCTGGAGGCTAAATTAGATAGTAAATTTGGCCCCTTGTCCATTGATGGGAACCATGTGCAGAGATAAATGCTTGGCTCGTTGCCCATCACGGGGAGCTATGCATATCATATTATTGTCCTTTGATGGGAGTCATGCAGTAAAGCAAACTCTTTATCCATTGCTGAGAGCCATAGGATGCAGTAGTGAATATCGTTACAGAGGACATGACCATCAAGAAATGCCCGGCCATGTCACCAAAATAGATCTAGCCATGTCTGGCCATGTATGTGAAAATAGACGTTGGAGTAGGTTACATTCTATGATGTCTCCAACGAAGTGCATGAGTGTTGTTTTTGGTGATGTTGATTCCATTACAGCAATTAGTAGAAAATAGGAACTACACGTCTGATGTGGGAAATGAGCGTTATGGGCCCTTGCTGATGTGGATCCACACACATCATTGGTGTTGCAACCATACAAATTCATCCCTCAACAACTATTAGTCAAAACAAAACCTAAACCAAGCCATAGAAATAGTATAGACTTAGGGGCTTTAAATTACCCTAAGAAAAATAATGAAGTCTTCCCCAGGACAACCAGTATAAAACATGAAGTGGTGTTAGATACTATAAAGAACCCCTCTAGACATTTCAAAACAAAAGGAGGTTCTTATGATGGGAAAGAATGACATAACATTTCTATCCTAATAGATATAGAAGTAGGACTAACACATATCCATAGCGATATGATCCCACACCTACAAAGATTTGAACTCACTAAGCCATACATATATTACAACTTTAATGGTATAGTGACCATTGTATATGAATATACTAAAGTATCTTTTAAAATAAAGGATAAGAATAAGATAAAACATGAAATCATTATAATAGATCATGCTAAAATTGCAAGTATAGAATTAATGCTAGGAAATACATTCTTAACATCAGTATTGTCATATGATATCCAAGAACATTGTTTGAAGATTACGTTAAGTGAAAAAGAAGTGATTGTACCTAGATAGTATGAAAACTAGTATCTATTGTGTATACATATCCACTGGAATCAAGTATAAAGAATACAAAACAGAATTCTTTCATGCTTTTATAGATACGGGATCTAGGATATGTTTGGCAAAAACCAATGTATTTCCAAAGTATTATTGGAAGAACCTCTCAAATAATGAAAGCCGTAGCCATATATGAAAATATTATTCAATATCACACAATACTAGAAAGAGTTACCATTGTAATCGGTGGAACTCAAGTTATAATTCCTTGAGTCTATGAAAGTAATGAACATGGGAATGACATTCTATTAAAAAACAATTTCCTAAGCCAATTCAAGCAATATATTCAAACTACATCATATGTGAAATTTTATACACTTTGTGGACATTGGCTTTATGCCACTGATAAACGCTAGCCTTTCTTGTCGTACCCACACCGTCAGAGGGTGGTCTTGGTTGTTGTTGCCCACCGAGCATTGCACCACCATGCACTGGCGACCACTAAGGGACCGCCAATCGCTACTTGATGGATTTTTATCGTTGGAAGGTAGCCATCCCATCCAATCATAGGGTTGTAACTGTTACTGACCTCACGCTAATCGTACCAAGTTGCGCTAACTCTTTGTCCATTTCTGAGAGCTAGTGAGATAGAATATGTAGAAATTCGACTCTTTGTCCGTTGTCGAAAGCCGGTGTAATAAGATATGTGGAGATGTGTGGAGATGTGTAGCCTTTTATCCATTGTTGGAGGCTAAATGAGATAGAAAATGTGGCCCTTTGTCCATTTCTGGGAGTTATGTAGATATAATAAGATCAACCCATTGTCCATTGATGGGAACCATGTAGTAAAGTAGGCTCTTTATCCATTGTTAGGAGCCACAGGATACAACAATGAACATCATTGCGGAGGCCATGACCATCAAGAAATGCCCAGCCATGTCGCCAAAATAGATCTAGCCGTGTCTGGCCATGTATGTGAAAATAGATGCTGAAGTAGGTTACATTCTACGATATCTCCAACGAAGTGCATGAGTGTCGTTTCTAGTGATGTTGATTCCACTGCAACAATCAGTAGAAAATAGGGATTGTATGTTTGATGTGGGAAATGAGCGTTGTTGGCCCTTGCTGATGTGGGTTTGACGCGTCATTGGTTTTACCACCATACAAATTCATCCCTCAACATTAGCCCCCCAAGCAAACGAAGTTGTGACAACAAGTTTGGCCGCTTGGCATTGAGGGAGGTAGATTACCGCGGCATTCTCCATATGAACACAAGCATGCTTGGATGATATAGACATTAGATAATTAATGTGGACCCCCTTATCGAGGCATATGGAATTTGAGGGACTTAGGATTGCCAGTACTCAGCTTCTGCCAAGTAAGCTGTTGATGGTGAAATAACTTCGACAGAGGCTAGGTCGTGTTAAGCTCGGCCATGTAAAGCAGCAACGAGCATAGGTGAGTCCAGTATGACCTTGGCTACCATTGATGAGTAAGGCGTGGGCCTCAATGCTGTTGATAGGGTCTCAACATAGATGTGATCCAAGCCAGGCTAAAGTAAGACTCTAGGCGATAGTGATTCTAGCCGTTGTGGATATGAGTTTAGTGAACAAGCTTGCAGCCGCATCCACGCTAGGATTCTCACACGAGCTGCATTGTCTTTCTTCTTGGAAAATAATACGTTTTGAGCAGTCATTGTGGATTTTTTTTTTAAATACTATTCACTGTAGTTCATATATGAAAGGAAGTCCGAAACTATTCTAGGGAGGTTTTCAGCAATTAAAAAAACAAAAGTAACTCCCCTTTTTAAAAAGATAAAGAAACTGAACCTTCCCCAAAATTCCCGTTATGATGGTGCATAAAAAAGGGAGATTTTAAAGGAGATTGCATACATGCATATGCATCAAGACAATGTGCACCTTACTTGTCGTCCCCTTGATAATTGCTGGCCATGTTGATGAGCGACAAGTGGTGAAATGATTGGCCAGTGTAGTTAATGCTGCCTTTAATTTCCCTTTCTACCATTCTCCTCCTTCCTTAGTGAGTCTTTCAGTTTTCCCTTTCTTCCTTTTCCACAAAACCGTTAAACCCTTCTCTCTTCCTTCTGCATCCTCAATTTTCATCATCTTCTCCCTTCAAATTTCTAGATTCCTTAACAAAGTTACTTTATTCTTCCCTAGAAGATTAATCTAGTGCGCAAATTTGCCAAAATCCCTTTTCTAACCGAGGTAATGATGGACCCTTGTTTCTCTGCTTCATTTTTTTTTTTTTTGTGGTTGCACGTTATAGATTTCTTGTGTTTCCATTAATATGAATCTTTGTTTTGTCTTCTTTTTCCTTTCCGCAGAAAGCCTTAAGAGATGGCCGATCCTTATCCAACCCACGGAGTGTAGTCGTACCGCGACTCATGGTATACTTTCCATGATGGCTTTCTGGAATTCAACACTTGGTCCGCAAAGAGGGCACTTGAGAAGCAAAAGGCTCTAGTCTTGCTTGAGGCTTTCAAAGGGAATGACATGAGTGTGGCATGGTTTCCTTCGTCACCGACGTAATGCTTGTTGAGAACGACTTTGTGGAGATACTGCATGGGATTCTTAAGTTGGTAGCTCTGAGCCAAACTTTGCAAATTAGTGGTAATGTAGAATGCCTCCGTCGCTTGGTGAGAAGGTGGTGCACGAGTACCCAGAAATTTATCCTTGCTTTTGGGGAGGTTATTGAGACTCTAGAGGATGTGGCAAATTTGATGTTGTCGCTTATTGTTGGGGAAGAGAACCCACGGCAGATAGCGTTAACGCCAAAGGAGCGTGCCACACTAGTAGCTTTGAAGAAGGTGATGAGGAGGAATGCTAGCGTCTCTTCTCGCTTATAGAGGGGAGAGTATAGCATTGATTTTCCAACTTGGATGCGGTACTTTCAGACGGGCGAAGGTAAAGATAGCCTGTATGTACGCGCAACTTTCCTTACGGCTTAGTTGAGTAAGTTTGTCTTTAGGGGCTACCCAAACCACGAGATTATGGCTAAGTGTATTCCTCTGGCGATTCGATTGGCTGAAGGTGCGAAGCTCCCTTTAGCCCCTTTGATGTTAGGTACGCTCTATCACATGCTTGATTTGCTCCACTTTGATGAGATTCTCAGTGCTAGCTAATGCATCATTGAGTTACATGTATGTTTGTCTTTGTTGCAAATGTTTGGATGGGAAAGGTTTCGCCCTTATCATTCTAGCCGTGTTATCGGTGGGAAGGCTTTAAAGGAATATCCCATGGCGAATGTGGTTACACCAGCGGAACAGCTCCGTTAGCCTGCTCTTGGATAGGAAAAAAGGAAGATAAAGGGACAAATAATCCCGGAAGTTGATGGCCTTCTAGATGACTATAGCAGCTTTAATTTTCTTGCGTACAAGACAATGCCTGGGACATTTGCTCCACCCGAGGTGAGCCTCTTTGACAAGGCACTCCTAGCGGTGCTCGAGAGTCAGATCATGGAGTTTACCATGGGCAACTCAAGTCATCTAGAAATGCTAGTGGTGATCACACCATCCATGCTGCCATGCATTAAATGGCGGGGGACGTGGAGTCTAGAGTGCTATTGTCCGGAGAGAGTTGCGAGACAATTTGGTTGTGATCAAGATGTACCTTTTGCTCTTTCTTTGGACAAGACAGATTGGAATAGGGCCATGCGGCCTTACATTGATGAAGTTGCCATGGCCATGTGGAGCGAGGGTGCTGCCACACAGGTTTTTTAGCACTTTGAGAATATCAACCATGTGGTCACCCATGCTAGAGTATTGAGGGACACTACTAAAGGAGTTTGAAGCTTTCATTCAATCATTGCTGGAAGTGGTGGAATATGATCCTACTTCCTAGGATTGTGAACGTCTTTTTACCCACAATAATTCTTTCTTCAGTTATTGTGGCAAACACTCTTGGGGGTTTTTAACTAGGGAGGATAATGAACAGTGGCTACCCATCTATCCTCCCATTCTTGGCATGGCAGAGGAAGAGTATGACTAGGTTGGTGTCATTGGTGAAGAACTTGGGCAAGAGGCAGCTTGCGGCGTTGGGGCTGGAAGGTAAATATACTCTCTTATTTCTTCTTCTTCTTTTCCCCTTTTACCTTAAACTTTGGTTCTTCTTCCATCCAAGATTTTGGCTCGATTGGATTAGTGCCGAAGAATGCTTCATGTTCTCTTGTTTTTCTCATGACATTGTAGAAAGAGACGAAGAAGCTGCCCCTCCCAGGAGGTAAGTTTTGGGTGAGAGAAAGAGTGTTGCCCATCAGCTTAAGAGCAGAACATGTAGAACTTCTACTTCGCTAGCAAGCAAGCAAAGTAAGGCTAAAGCGCCCACACCCTCTGAGGCCAAAATTGCCAAGTAAAAAGATACAAGTCGTAACAGCGAAAATGATGAGAGTTCCTGGGGTAAGGATGGCAACGGGTCCCCACGGGGGCGGGGACCCCCTCCCCATCCCCATCCCCGTCAATGGCGGGTACGGGGATCCCCGCGGGGATTTTTGGCGGAGGGTCAAAAATTGCCTCCGTCCCCATCCCCACGGGGAATAATAGGTCCCCGCGGGTATTCGGAGTCCC